CGCCCGTGGTGGCTAGGGGCTGCACTCGTGGAGAGGCATCTCCAGAAACTGCAAAGGCTGGGTAAAGCGGAGAGTCGCGCCCGCGGCGGCTGCGCAGCCTGGCAGCGTCTTAGTGATTTTGATAAGGGAATGTTAGATGTTGAATTTGTCAATAAAATATTTGTTAATTGATTATTACAAAGTAAGAGTTATACAATCCATATTTTGTGAGTATGACATTGCATATGTTTAGTTACCTCTAATTTTTTGGTTCTACATTTTGTGAATTGAAATTGGCCTTGGAGATAACTTTATTGATTTATATATCTTTTTGGTGGGATGCTTTGAAAAATGTCTTCTAACATGTTTTTGAGGAGTATGTATATACTCCAAGTATTACTTTTATCATGATTTATGTATGTGCTGGTTGTGAAGTTGAGATGTATTATGTTAATTACTTAAATGTGGATATGCAAATCTGGTATTGAGAAGTCTTGTACATAACTCAATTGATTTCATTACTCTATTTTCAATTTTTCATTAACATGTGCATGCAAAATTTGAAATTCTCAAATGTGTTGAACTTTTGAAAGGAAATTGTGTGATACCTTTATCTTAAGGAGGATTATGACTTTCTCTTTGGAGAATTTTCTAGTAAAGTATTTCGAGAATTAGACTACAGTTTTTCCCATTATTCTATGATGGTTTGTTGTTACCCCCTATGACTCTTTATTGTGTTATAAATCTTAATCAATAAAGCATGAGTAATTTTTAAATGCCCCGAATTTCATATGGTGGCATGGGAATTAATATTTTGAAGTGTTGTGAAATTATTATCTTTGGTTAATTCAATGTTTCAAATAAAGATTTCTACTCTTGTCCACCTTATATGCTATTACAACCAAGTTCTATGACATAGTTATGAATTTTCTTCCCAAGTATTTGACTATGCTTTATTTTAGGATTTGGACCTTATGTTTTCATGTGGGGGTTATAAGTTTATGAACTTATAAAATTTCTTTATAAGGAATTTCTATTATTAAAGACCCCATGTGAACTTTGGAGAGAGTCATATGTCCAAATTTAATTCATTGAGAATGTGAGTTTTAGGTGTATTGCTAATGGAGTTGAATCAGACTTTGTTGTCAAATGTGGGGGAAGTTAATTATAAAAAATTAGTGTTGGACTCAAAGTCTTAGCTCAGTTGTTGCATAGGATTTGCATTTATTTCACGACTTGATATGTGGCGAGTCTTGGAGTAATTTTATCTTGAGCCTATCCTAATTGATTCTCAATTGAATATATTGTCTTTGAGCATATTTGTGTGTTACTACCATGTTTCAAGTGGTGAATATTGATAAGTATCATATATAACACATTTTGGGCGTTTTTCTCCCTTAGTTTTAGGTTTATTTCGGTGTTTCTTTGTTATTTCTATTCCTTTTAGTCTTGTTTTAGTTATCTTTGTCTTAGTTTATGGTTTTAGGCCTTAGTTGTGAATAATATGCTTTTTGCTCGATTTCTAGCTTGATTTGCGTGTTTTTCTATGTGTTCTTTCACTCTTTTCTCTCTTGGTCTATTTGCGTAGGTGCTTGACGCTTTCTTCGATGCTTATGACTCGAGAAAAGGCAAGAAATTTCAATAGAAGAAGCTTGAAGCTAAGAAAGAAGCTAAGAAGCTTGAGGCAAGAAAGCTTGAAGCTCGTAGAAGGCCTTAAACCAAGTCTTGTTCACTCTTTCAGCCATAACGTTTGATCTACACATCGGATTGAGGCGATTCAAATTGCGTTGGAAACTAGACTTGAAGAGCTTTCCAACGATAGGTCGCACACCCTAAGAGGCTTTCTAGACCAGAAATTATATTAAACCACATGCTAAACATAATCAACAATAGACTTGGTTTAGAATGAACCTCCCTTGAATTAAATCAAGTAACGTACGGGAGACCTCTATTGATATTCCAAATCGTTCTTATTATAAATAAGGGCTTCAAAATGCCATCATAACTCATTAATTTGAGCAGCTAGCGAGAATCCAACTTTGTTCGGGGGTCATTTTCGGGAATGCACCTATACTCTCTCAAAAAGAAAATTATGTAAACCAGAAAAAAAAATGGGAAAGAGGTTGAGTGTGATATGAAAGAGTAGTCAGTCTCTTACCTCTCGCTATTTAAAAAAAAATTAAAAAAAAAAAAACAATTATAAATAATTAATTAAGAAACATACAGTAAAGTGATAAATAATGATGACAAACTCAATGATACAACCTTCGCTCATTGCAATACTATCACAATCCACCATAAAATAAAATTCTTGATAAATCACGAATATGGTCGGAAAAATAATATCAGGAATAAATTAAAATACATATACTCGGTATAATGGTATTGCCCAAGAAAAAATCCCAGCAATAATGAACCATCAAAATGAAATGTTGAGAATGACTTAATCTCAACCTAACTATTCAGAATACTGTACAAGATTACAATCCTTGCTCCTCACCATAATTGAAAACAATTAAATTAATGAAATTATCATCATCAGTCTAACAACATACGCAATAACATGAAATTGCTACAAATTAAAACGTATCTTAATTAATATGTCAACTTTCACCATTCTTTGAATCAAGAAAATCTAATTCGACATATCAAGATCAAACATTTGGAAACAATAATTCATCTTTTAGATATCAAGAAATACTTATCTTAATGTCGTGTAGACCAAATTGACAATTGTCGCGTCGTGGTGAACTACTGACCTAAAAGACAATTTCGCGCTACTCCGGTGCAGTAGACATCAAGCGGTCGCCCTCCAGGATAAGCACGGCGCCGGAATTTATGTGCACTCACAAACCTGACCTGGAACTCAGAATACTTGCCCAAAATCAAAGGAGTATTTTTTTTTAAAGTGAAAGGGGATTTTTGATTTTGTGTGGTATCAATTCAAAATTGGGAATGCTAAATATATATAGCAATAGATGGAAGGATATGGCAACAACCTATAAAAAGGAAAACGACTAGCATTTTAAGAGGAGTAACTTTCTCTTAATGAGATAATTAAGTGGTTAAACCAATGGTTATTGATGAGCGTAACTCCCAAATTAACAACGAACATAACTCAAACGAATAGACCATGAATATTGTAATAGATACAATATTCGTTCCAATAACAATACACCGTCAAAGAATAACGGGTGCCAAAAGATAAGATGCCCATTACCCACTTACCTCTACTCAAACAAGTAGTACAAAACTACTCCAAAGAATAAATGACACAAAGCTTTGACAATTATCAAAGTGGGACTCTCTCTTTCATTTTTTCTCACCTTTCTTTGTGTTTCAATCAAGAACTTCCAACAGAGACCAATTGATTGTTGATGCAGTGATGATTGAGACTGCACTTGGTTGTCACAAACTTTCATATGTGGCTTGTCACACTGTGTTACCAGCGACATATTTTTTTGTTTTTTTGAAAGAATGGTTGGGGTTACTTGATCACGAGTTACTCGGTCAAGGGTTACTCACTCTGTCAGGAGTTACTCGGTCAGTCAGAGGTTACTTGGTTAAGTGTTAGCCGATCGGTCAGGGGTTACTCGGTTAGTCAGGGTTTATCTAGTCGGTCAGGGGTTAAATTACTTGATCAAGGGTTACTCAGTTAGGGGTTACTCAGTCGGTTAGGGGTTACCTGATCAGGTTACTCATGTGTTAACTGGCTACACGGTGTGGCCAGCTACACACAAAAGTTGCTGCTTAATAGAGCCCGAATATAATGACATCCCAATATGTTATGTGAAATAATTAATATCTTAAATAACTGAACTATAATCAACAAAGAGTAAATTCTTTGCAAAATTTACTTTAAGGGAAGTATATATATATACTTTGATTTTGGAAACCAGATATTCATCAGCAAATGAGACACTTTCGAGTAAGTAGAGTTTTTAGCTCTTCCTATTGAATTGGTAGTGTTACGAATATTAGTTTTTGGTATTTAAAATTATTGGCTCCATTCATAGAAACACTTCTCCAATATACTAAATTGTTCATACATACTTGTAATATATGAAGACTAACTGAGAAAGACTCTAGTATTTGTTAGGTTCATTCACTTCAAGTCTTGAAGCCTCCTTTGGATAAAAGCATATTAATATACCTCTTTCTTGATCTCTGTTAAGAGGGCTAAGATACTTCAATTCTTGGAACGACTTGTTGTTGCACAGATAAACAATTACAAAGAACACATCAACAAATCAAGGTGTTTGTCATCACTTCAAAACTTTAGGAACCTACCATTTTCAAGCTTCTTATAAATAACATATTTTAGTTTAAAAGAAAACATATCTGTAAGACAGACACAAACATGAATTGAGACTTCCATTAAATTTCTATAAAATCTATAAATGGGAAATTTTTATAAACAGCTTTAGACTCTTGACTTAGAATCTAAAAATGAGTACCCAAGTATGAGATTAATCTCAAGTAACGTGTGCCCTTAGAAGAATTCAGTAAATCTTTTAGGTAACAATTGTGTGATTAAGTACATCTTAATACAAAAAAGATGGTTAGTTAATAGAACCTAAAGTGTATTAAGTGTTACCATAATGAAGTGTTTTGACAATAAGATATATACTAAGTAAGCAAAATTTAATGTCAATGAAGTCATACTACAATCTTCTAGCCCCACCAACTATATTTACTTGGGAGTCTGGGCCGACAGTGGCGGATCTAGACTTTGGATAAAGTGGGTTCAAAAAAGTCAAAGTCAATTTAAAAAATCAAAGAGGTTGAAGAAAAGACTCCTTTAAAATATAATATCTCCTTTCAGCTTTATCGACTGGATGAAAATCTGTTTTTTTTTTCCTGGTTCTTTGAATATTTTCATCTCCTCATCTTTAAGTGATGTTTTAAAATATGATGTTTTGTTACTAGAGTGCAAATATAAATTTTCATCCCCAAACTGTCCCATTTCGTTCCTATAATTACTTGTATTCTTTCTTATATAAATAATTTATGATCGAACAAACATTCAGTCTTGGAGAAACATAAAGGACAGATAATACAATTGCCTTTTTAAAAAAAATTTAAACTTGCAATAAATACAAGATTACAAACAGTTAATAACTACCTCTAATTTTGCCATTTTCACGATATTCCATCTACTCTTTTAGATTTACCTTGAGCATCAACAACAATATCGTCGTTTGGCAATGAGTGATCATCATCTTCCTTTGCTGCACACTTTGGCCTTGTTGAAGCATTGTTCATAACATTATCTTTACTAGCCTTGTTCCCTTCATCAAGGACTGAAGATGTGATTATTTCAATATCTTTAGTTGAATCCTCGCAATTGATTGAAGGAACTAACTTCGCCTTTTTCTTTATCTCCTTCCCTTTACCCCATACTACTCCGTATAATCCGATCACGATTAATATTGCTCCTAGTACACTGGTATAAGAGCACCACATGTATGTTATTATCTTATAGAAACGATAACATAAGTAGAGATCAAAAATCTGCTTGTTTTGGAACATTTTTATACATGCAAAATTATGAACTATAGTTTGTTTCACATCATCTTAATTCTTAGAATTTGAACAAGATTTACCATCTCCCCACAATAAACATATACCAATAGCCAACTAGCCATATGGGAAATTCTAATCATAAACAGTAATTCCTCCATTTTTGTAAGTGTTAGGCTCTTTTTTTGTTGACCTTAAGAAAATATTTAGTAAAAATAATTTCAGTTCAATAAAAATAATTTGTAATCAGTAACTTTAAAGAGAAAATATAATAGAGAATCAATATTAATAAATTTAGTTACATAAAATTAAATTTAGTTCACTAAAAATAATTTCATTTTATTAAAAATAAGGTAAAGAGAACATGGTCTTACACTTTGACTGACACATAGTTTTAGTAACTTAGTTGACTTTAATATAATTAATAAGATGTAAGTGAGGTGATTGGGATATTTAAAAAAAAAATTGTGGAGTTAGTGATTTGTTGAAAAGGTAAGGGATATGAGAATAAGGGATGTAATGAAATAAATAGTAGTGTATCAGGGAGCATAGAGATACATAAAAGGAAATATAATATCAAAATGTGGTAATTTGCCAAAAAAAGGAGTTATACCACTTAAAAAAAAGGGTTGCAAAGGAAAGTATAACACTAAAAAAAATGGAGGGAGTAATAAAGCAAAAGTAGGACAAGTTTTGTAATATATTTTTCCTAACATCTAAAATATTTATGTAATTTTAGTCTTTTTTAATAATATATAGGTAAGAAAAAAAAAATATTATGAAACTCTCCTCACGAGGAAACCCCTAATGTTATTTAGATTTTTTAGATTGACTTAAATATAGATTAAAACTTAGTATCGCCAAATTTTGCTTTTTTCGTAAGTCTGTAATATATATCTTAGAGGACAAGTAATTTAAAAATGTACCTTCCTAAATATAATTTCTCATCCAGAAAAAGATATCCAGCAAATGCAACTATAATCACCCTTAAAGGGTTGAATATGGACACGAACAATGGCCCTTTAAGACGAATACACCAAGCTACTAATGTCACCATCACACCTGAAGCGACAATTCCCTGCGTAAAAATGAAGAAGCGACAATTATTCGCACATTGTTAATATAATGATCACCAAATGAAAGATTTCATATTTATTAATTTACAAAGTATATAAATCAATCTTAGGCATTAACCATCAGCTTAAACTTTTAGTTGAATTGGTCCTCTAACATGGTATTAGCGCTGACGTGACACAAATGACACGGGTTCTAATATCTTCACCCCCTTCTTTCAATGTAGAATATTAAGTACTGCATATAGTGGGGCTCATACTACACCCACACTTTAATACTGCGCTTCAACCATGAAGAGTTAAAACATAATTTTATAATATAATATAGTGTTGTTTGGAAAATTTATAATTAAACATTCCCCCTCACATGTAAGGTTCCTTAAATTTCTTCTCATGTGATGTTTCATGGGGTAAGAACGCATTTTTTTGTGGATTGCTAAACATCGCCCGCAAATCTCCACATAAAGCCCACAAATCTATATTGAATTTACCTTATTGCCCTAAACCTAAAATAAAAAATTCTAACCCATACCCACACTCTAATCACCCGAAATACGGCAATGTTGAGGCGGCAAGGCAAGGAGTTGGCGGCCACAGCGGCGGAGGGAAGGACGGCTCACGGTGGCACGGTTTTTTTTTTAAAAAAAAATTAAAAAAAAAACAGAAGAGGTGGGGCGCCTGGCCAGGACGCCCAGCCCCTGGTGGTGGCGTCTGCTCCGGCCGCCGGAACCAGGGGGCTGGCGTCTGACCTGGACGCCTAGCCACGGTTGTGGCGTTTTCCAGAGGCGCCACCGTCGTGGCTGGGCGTCCAGGTCAGACGCCAGCCCCCTGGTCCCGGCGGCCGGAGCAGACGCCACCACCAGGGGTTGGGCGTCCTGGCCAGGCGCCCTACCACCGTTTTTTTTTTTTTTTTTTTTTTTTGTCTAATATTTTTTTTTTTTGGAAAATCAGAATTCTTTTGTTAATGTTTAATATTTTTGTTTTATGTGTTAATGTTTTTATTTCTAATGTATATATTTTTTTTAAATCAGAATTATTTGTGTTAATGTTTAATTAAAAAAAACAAAAACTTTAAATAAAATTTAAAAAAAATTACAAAAAGTTTAAATAAAATTACAAAAAAAAAAGAAAAAAAAATAAATAAAAAAATTACAAAAAGTAGGGGTGGCGTCTGGCCAGGACGCCACAGCCATGGTGGCGGCGTCTGGCCAGGACGCCACAGCCATGGTGGCGGCGTCCTGACCAGACGCCACCCCTACTTTTCGTAATTTTTCCCCCGGATTATCTCGCTTTCCGGCGACGATGACGGCTCTTCGGTGTCCCTCGGCGATCCACTCCAGCTCCACATTCTTCGTGAGAGTGAATTACGGTTTCGGTAAAAATTAGAAAAAGGGCAAAAGAGTCAAAGTAAAAATATTTGTGGGCTTTATGTGGAGATTTGCGGGCGACGTTTAACAAATCCCTTTTTTTTTTCACTCCCTCTCATATGGACGTAATCAACTTAGCCTAGTGTACTCATCACTCATGCCATTAAAGGTCCCAAACCGTGGACCTAGTTCTGATATCATGTAAAATACGAGTTTGGGCCGCATGACAACCAAGAAAGAAAGTTCACTTTACAAATCCAAGGAGGTTCCATCCCAAACCAATGTTGTAATGGAAGTAGCCCTTTAGTGTTATAAAATGTACATTTTGACTCTCTCTTCTTTTCTTAATATGAGACACTTACATAATAAGTTGTTTGTGAAGTTTATACTTCAACAGTTAATCACATACATGTGGTGACTAATTATTACAGTTATAATTAATTACTATATATTGCCCAGGGTGAGGCCCCGTATCATTATCATGTGAGTTTGATCAAAAATAAATTAAAAGGGGTTAATTTAACAATATTAATAAGTAAATGTAAATATTAGAATATTTTTTTCTTAGTTTTGCATCAATGGAATGATTATATCTTTGTTATTTTGATATCTATACTAGTACTATTATTTCTGGTACTCTATAACTACAGTTTTATGTTTTAACGCACCTGGACTTAAACTTTTTTTATAAAACATTATGATGATTTAATTTAACTTGTAATGAAATTTCAATTAAATGTGCAATAATATAAAAATGACCAAGTTGTTTTCATATGATAGAAGACGTTAAAGTCGGGAGGTTAAACATGAAGAGTTTTGTTGTAGTATACATGTTATTAATCATAGGAAGGTTATCCGTATAATGAGTTTTTCAAGTAAGTTAAACATTATTACAAAAAGCGGCTTCCATGTGTAACATTAGTTTTTTTTTTTTTCTTTTTTTTTCCTTGTTTTAAAGAATGAAGACCTTATGTGGCGCCATATCATTTTGACATATTAGTGACATATGTTATCATAACATTTAATGTCTTGAATTTTAATAATATTATAGATATTGATATAGATATATATAATAAACTTACAGCAATGGTGAGAAGTCGAATGTTCCAACCCAACTTCCAGGACTTCAAGTCTCGATCCATGCACAACGCGAACACGAGAGCTCAAAACCGTGCATGAATAAGGACAAGGATAGTTGATACTCATCTTTGCCTACCATCACCCCAATTTATGGCATATGAATGTTCTAAACACTATTAAGAAATTAAGATAGCTGGTATTTGCATACATAAAATTTGAATTTATAAATCCATCTAATTTTCTTTTCTTATGTAAAGATAGCGACAACTGAGAATGATCTAAACAATATTAATTTTAAATATTAGCTAAAATAGATAATGTTGTATCGCCTATATGTAGTCATTAGGGCTAATAATAAGCATTTAATATCTTTTCTAATTTAGTACTTCATTTAAAAATGCATGACAAAATCACGCGTAAAATAGTTAAATTAATGTTATTTTTCATTTATTTTTAGCTCCTTATATATAGCCCTAAGGATTATTAGTAACATTTTCCCATAAAAATAGGCTCCTTGTTATATAGTATATAGTTTTATAGAAACAATGATATATCAAGTTACTAGAAAACAGAAAAAAATTATACATGAAATAAGTGAGGTTATCAACACCTGTACAATCAACCAAGAAGCATAGCAACAGCAGCCACATACAGCAAATACGGACCCAATTAAATGGTCTCGCGCGTCATGCACCCCCGGTCCATGACCATGAGCCGCCCCTTTCATTAGGTGAGTGTTTGGTGACCCTATCTTTATTTCAAAACCTTTATAAAGAGTAAGCACCATTGCACCTAAAATTCCAAGTACAGTTCCCATAACCTTTGCGGTTCCTGGTAATGTTTTTAGTGATACCTTCTCCAACCTATGCATAAAAAATTGTCTTTACTCTATCAGTTACAATTTATTCACGCATCATTATATGAGGAAATGTTGAAAGACTGAAAATATTAATTTATCTTATGCTCTTAGCTGAGACAAAGAGTAATATTTGTCTCTTTATTAATGCGTAATTTTGTTATATAATTTCTGCACTAGTTACATTATATGAAACACATTTGATGTATAATTATGCTCCCTCCATGCTCCATCGCAATGATCTATTATGATAAAACTTGTTTTAGTAGATAAATTAGGGTTTAATCATCATGATCACAATAAAAAAAAAAAATATAATAATAATAATAATAATAATAATAATAATAATAATAATAATAATAAACAAAAATATGATGCTTTGGAGGTTAGTAGCTTAGGGTAGCTATTTAATTTTATGAGAAAGACAAAACACTATTACTTTTAGAAAGAAATTATTAAAGGGTAATGCTATATGCAGCCCTTAGCATTTAATATACTTTCTTTTTTTAGTATTAAGTTGGGAATTTATCGACAATTCACGAGTAAATTGGTGTAATAAATTTTTATTTTTTGTCTATTCTTTCCATTTTTTAGCTTCTTATATATGCAGCCCTTAGGCTGCATATATCTTTTTCCAATATTAAATTAGGATGGTTTAAAATGAAAAGTGAGAAGATAGAAAGTACTTACCCCTTAATATTTTTCTTTTTTTGGTAAAAACTTACCCCTTAATATTGCATTAAAAAAAAAAAAAGTTTAACATCAATAAAGTTGAAAAATGTAATGTTTTAAGTTTTTAACTAGGTTTTAACTAAGGTCTTGTTCACTTCACCTTAAAAAAAATATTCAGTAAAATTAAATTCATTTCAGTTCAGTAATTTTACAAAAGAATTATAATTAGAAAATCAGTAAAAATAATTTCAGTAGAGTAAAATTAATTTAAGTTAAGTAAATTTAATTTAACTTTAGCAAAAATAATTTCAGTTCAATAAAAATAATTTTAATTTAGCAAAAATAAGGTGAAGTGAACGGGGCCTAAGTACTAAAGATTCTACATTAGTTAAAAATTAAGATTTTACTAGATAGTTAAAAATTTAAGATTTTACAGGATAGTTAATACATCTTAGCTTTTATGTTGCTAGTAATAGTTAGTTACAAATATTGAAGAATATGTTTCTTTTTACAAAAGAAAAAACAGATCAACTACTCATACCAGCAAATTATAACTAAAGAAATAAACTGAGATTGAATACTAAAATACCTGAAAAAAACAGCAAGAATGAAGGTAACAGCAGGAATAAGATTTAACATAGCAGCATTAATGGTGGCAGAGGTTAATACAAGGCTCTCCAAAAACAGATTATGAACCAGTGCTCCGCTGCATTCATATAAAAACAGATTATGAACCAGTTCTCCCCTGCATACTGCATTAATGTCGTAATTTATTTGTAATTATATACATTTATTTTCATGTTTATATCATAGTTGATAGTTGGCGTAAATGGTTAAAAAATCATCATTCTTAGAAGAGGTTGGGTGGCACATATAAGAGTTCTAGATAAAAATGAAAGAGAAGTTTCATACTTGCTTTATTGGTTAACTCTAAAGACTAAACACCCTGTAAAAAAAAAAAAAACAGACTAAACACTTCAACAAAACAACGAGTTAGATATTCACTGACCAAATCTACAAATTAGAGGGCTTTATGTAGAAATAGTAGAAACAAACGAAAATTGTGATTAATTCATGATCTAAAATATTGGATGCTACGAAACAACCAAATAGTCCATAGAGAACAGCTTGGCCTAGAATCGTCCATGTTAACTTTGGTCTGGTTTCCCTAAATAAAACAACGAATAATGCAGAGTAAATTAAGCCATAATATATATATATATATATATATATATTACACATTAGACTTAATGTACATTAAATTACCCGTCCAAGTGTCCAACATAAAACTTAAATTAATTTTACTAAACTATTTGTTCTTTATTGATTAAAATACTAAGCCAATTTTTGAACAAGGTTGAACTTATACTACTTGCAGATTATTGTAAACCTTTTTATCATTACCATATCATATGTAATTAATTTTAATAATCAATACAATATTACTATTTCATGCTAATTGTACAGTACTATTTTACATTTGTCAATACCATATTTTTTTTTTGAACAACTCAATACCATATTTTTATTTCATGCTAATTTGTACTATTTTACGTATAATTAATTTGTACTATTTTATCATTTGTAATTAATTTATCAACACCAAAAATTTTAAATTTCAGAACAAGACCAGTAAAGTCAGTCCAAAACTCGAACTGGACCAGATCGGACCGGATAGATTTTAGTTTTTTTTTTCTTTTTTTTTTCTCTATATTTATAGTTTTTATTATATTATGAAAAACAGCATGTCTTGTGTGTGGTTGGTCACATCATATGGCTCTTGTAAATTAACAAAGTAACCTATATACGACTGACCGAGTAACCTGTATAGAACTGATGAAGTAACCCCCTGTAAAACTGAATGAGTAACCCCTATCACAATAACAAAATAAATCCCTATAATAATTTTCCACATCATGTAGTCATCCACATATAAGAATTTGTGTATGAAAAACGAAACTATAAATTTATGAAAAATGGTTAATTAATTTTTATTTTGAATGTCTAAAATGAAATAACTCATAGTATAAAAATATTTGTAGCATATTAAACGTAAATATTTTCTTGTTGTGATATCCAATATATATACATATATATACATGTATATGCATACATACATATATATACATACATATATATATATATACGTACATACATACATATATATATACATATATATATACATATATATGTATGTACGTATATATATATACATATACATATATACATACATACATACATACATATATATATATACATATACATATATACATACATATATATATATATATATATATATATATATATATATATATATATATATATATAAGGTAATGCTATATGCAGCCCTAAGAGCTACATATAAGCATTTAATATACTTTTTTTTAAGTATTAAGTTGGGAATTTATCGATAATTCACGAGTAAATCGGTATGATAATGTCTATTTATTGTCTATTCTTTTCATTTTTAGCTTCTTATATGCAGCCCTTAGGGCTGCATATATCTTTTTCCAATATTAAATTAGGACGGTTTAAAATGAAAAGTGAGAAGACAGAGAAAGTACTTACCCCTAAGGGCTACATATAGCATTACCCTTAGAATATAAGGGTTTTTTAGTTTTTTTTTTTTTTTTTAACAATGCAATTAGGGCTTTGCTACTTCAATTTTGCCGTTGTGTGTTGGGACTCGTGGTATAACCGTATAAGAATACTTGCTGAATCTTCCCAACAGCTGTAATGAATTTGCTCTTTAACATCAAGTCATTAATGGATTGACTCACGTAATTGTTGTTGATTTAATAGAGTTGAATTGCATTTAATGTTTCATTTGGAAGTAGCATTCTTAAGATTTTGGCTAATATTGGCTAATTTATTTCCATATTGCATGCATGCATGCATTTTTCATAATTATACTCTCCGTCATGCAATAATCATGTATTAATAGCGACATGTTTGATAGGCGATAATAGAAAACTAGTCGAGGAAATTATTTTGAGGTACATTTGGCAATTTGTGAGATTTGAGGATACACTTTGAGGTGAGAATCCTCACTCTCCTTCAACGAAAAAGGATATATTTCTAATAACAAACTAATTGTATATTCGTATAGTCGTGTTGGTCTTATTACGGCGAAATTCATCAGTTAAAAAAAAAAACAACAAAACAAAACAAAACCAAAAAAACAATTTAGGGCTTTTAGGCGGACCAACTACGTTCTCGTGAAATGAATTTTAAAGTTTCATGTAAAGTTATGTACAAATTTATTACCATTATAACATTATTGTATTTTATTTATCTTTTGTAAAAAAACAAAAAAAATAAAAAATAAAAAATAAAAATAAAAATTGTATTTTATTAACGCACTTAAAAAAACGAAGATACAGAAAAATAAGAGAAGAACCTTTCAAGAAAGTAAGCGATAGGAACCATGAAGACAGCTGCAAAAAGAATGCGATATGCCACTAAAACCCTTAGGTTCATGCCATCAACAGCCGCAAGCTTATATGTAATGTTGACACCAGCAAATGCAATTTGAACAATCACCATTATAATAATTGATTTTATGTCATTGATGAATTGCCAAAATTGAACCATCTTTGTTTAATAAAGGAGTGGTGGTTCAATTCAATTCATCCAAAGTTAAAGAGGAGTTTTTCTCCTGGTTTTTTTGCTTGTTTTGTGTTTGCAGTGAAACAGAATTGAAGCATGATATCATCATGTATTTATGAGCATGGAAAAGTGAGAAGAGTGTTAAGTTTTGCTTCTTGTGATAACCCTTTTTGTAACTCTTATGTATGGATGTCAGTGGGGCGGGTCAAATAGGAGACCCGCCCCATCCCCGCCCCAATGGGGCGGGAATGGATCTTGGTTTGGCGGGTGATGAGGCGGGGATGGGAATAAAAACCATACCCGCCATGGGTGATGGAGCGGGGGTGGATTTTAGGTTGTACCCGCCCTACCCCACTTCGTACCCGCCCCATTCCCACATCCATATATTTTTAAAAACAAAATTATATACTTTTACAGTATTTTATAAAAAAAATTATGTAAAATAAAATAGTAAATATAATACTTTGTAATACACTTATATTATAAATAAAAAAAATGTGTAATATTAACAATAATTTTTTTCTTTTTGCAATCTTTATTAACTGTGAAGGATTGTTTATTTGGAAGGCGGGGATTAGGTGGGTCTTAGGGGGGGATTAGGTAGGGGTGGATATCCAAGTGAGGGGTGGGGCGGGGATGGTTTTGGAGTTGTACCAGCAGGAGCGGGGATGAGGATGAATTTTAGACCCGCCGCGGAGATGGGGATGGAGATGGGTATGAAAATTTTAGGTGATGATGGGGATGAGAGGGCCAACATCCACCCCGTCCCGCCCCATTGACATCCCTACTCCTATGGGTGATGTCCAAATGCTAAGTGAATTACTTTGTATACTTCGATGTCGATTAAGGCTAGCAATTGTCAAAGCACCAACTCAACCGTTTGTCGTCCAAGCAACGAGTAGTCTCCTTTTTTCTATTTTGGGTGAATAAGAAGTTACATTTTGGTCCAACTTCCTTTGTTTTGAATTAATCGAAATATTGGACGTATATTAAGTTTCAGGTTAATTACATAGTGGAGACGAAAGTTTGAATTTTATAATATACTGAGTAAAGAATAGTTAGTTAGTTAGGGTATCTTTAATTGTTCACTAATTCTTATATGTGGCTGGTCACAAGGCGTGGTTTGCCATGATGAGGATTACTTCGTTAGTGCTATGGGCCTGGGTTACTTGGTCAGTCCTACGAGTGCTACTTTGTCAGTATTATAGGGGCCACTCCGTCGGTATTATAAGGGTTACACTCGGTCAATGTTATAAGAGTTACTTCGTTATTTTACAAGGGGCCAGATAGTGTGGCCAGCTGCATACAAAACGCGCAACTAATTGTTAATGAGAGGGAAAAATAATTTTAAAAAGTAGTTTAAGTTAAGTTGGTAAGAGAAAGAAATAATTTTAATGTGAGAGAATGGTATTTTTTAATAATTTAGATAGGGACCACAAAAGAGAAAAATAATATAATACTCTGAGTGAGGAATAAAGAAGAGAGAAAAATAGTAAATGTACTTCTTATATGATATAATATAGGGAAATTCTATATAGTGGCCTTATGGAATCAAAAATTCTATTTAAGAGACAAAACATTTTTTTTACTTCTATCAAGTGGCACTCTAATCTTGAAAAATTGAGCATAGTGCCTTTTTTTATTAAAATGGTTAACCTTAGTTTTTTTTTAATGTAAATTTACTAAACTAGCCCCTCCTCTTCAACCAAACCACAACCCCCACTACCCTTATCCCCTTCCCAGCCACCAAAACTGCCGTCGCCACCCTTCCCCTATGTCCGCCCACTAAGCCCCCCACCCCGCCGGCGAACAACTTCCTTGCGTCGGAGACTCATCCCCCTTCGTTTTCCCCTTACCCCGACCCTCCTCTCCCTTGTCGGCGACCTCCAGCCGCTCCCCTAAACCCTAAATCCACTCTACCACCGAAAAAGAGTATGAACTTAATCTTAATCGAGATCCTTCATTTCAAATAACTTAATCGTCGACGATGATGATGTGACTGCTTATGCGACAACGCACGAACTTCGATACTAACGTGCTCTGAACCACCTCCAGAGGTGGCGGAAGTGGCGGCAGTGGCGGAGCCAGGATTTTCAACTTGGGGGGACAAAATCGTACACCGAATCTTCCTCTAAGTATTGGACTCATTTTCGTTGGACCCATTTTATTGAGTTTCGTTCTTTTAAACAAGAATTGTCGAAGATCGGGTTGTTTAGTTGCCTTGGATTTGTTTGAATTTGGTGAATCTTTTGACATTTCCTAATTAAATTGAAAATTATATACCAATTTCCACAATCCACATCATTACATAATAACAAAACCTAAGATTCTAATTTCTAAATTTCTAATTCAACTATACATTTCAATAATTTAAATTCTCAAAAACAGGGGGAAAAAATTAAATACTAATAATTCAGAGATTAAACAATTCAATTTTCAATAAGTTCAATACTTCAAAGTTCAAAACTTCAATACCCACAAATCAACAAATGACAAATCCACAATCATTCTCAATCGAAATTAAACAAGTTGATATATACAACAATTTCATCAATTAAACAAGTAATAAGTTGAAATTCGACTTCAATACCCACAAATGACAAAATCGTCAAATCCACAATAATTCTCAATCGAAATTAAAAAAGACTAACAAGTAATAAGTTGATATATACAACAATTTCATCAATTAAACAAGTAATAAGTTGAAATTCAGATTTACATACCTCCATTGATTTGGGTGAATTGGGTCTAGCGAAGACCGGAAGACCGAAGACAGCAAGACACCCGCCACCAACACCGACACCGCACACCGGCGACACGAACTGTCGTATGTCGAACTCCAAGTCGCGAACTGGTGATTTGGGTGAACAGAACCGGCGACGGGAGCAGGGGTGGAGCCAATAAAGGGCGGAAGACCGAAGACAGCAAGACACCCGACACCGCCACTGGACGGGAGAAGACGCGAACGAACCAACAAAGTGCCGCCGACGAGCCTGACTGCCTGAGAACTCTAAGTCTCCAACTTTCGAACTTCGAAGAGAGAGAAATTGAGAATTGTGAAAGTTAGGGTTTAGTTTTGCAATTTCTTTTCTTCTTCTTTCTGTCTCACTTCAGTTTTTTTTTTAATTTTTTTCTTTAATTTTTTTTTTTTTGAAAATGGGGGGACAAGTGTCCCCACATGTTCCTTAATTGGCTCCGCCCATGAGTGGCGTTGATGCTAATGTCGTTGCTATAATGGTAATTGTTGTTGATCGTATTCCCTAATTGATGACTAAATGAGCCATTCAATTGAGTACGTACAATCAAATTTGTAATCAGTTAGTTATGGTGAAGTAACTCACATGGTGAAATCAATTAGCAGATGTGAAATACACTGCAGGCCTGGGTCGAGCAGTACGTCAACACACGTTACATCACCATAACTAATCAATACAATCTATCTTGGGGTTATTGATTTCACTACTATATTGTTGTGAACTCTCTGTTGATACTAATTCCTAGCAGTACATCAGAGCATTCTTCAGCAATTCAATTTGATAGTAATGAGGAGGAGTCACCGGCGGGGGGGGGGGGGGGGGAGAGCAGGGGTGGGATGCCGGTGGGAAAGGGGAGGGGGGTTGCAGGCAGGGGGAGGGGGAGGAGGTGGCAGCTGGGTGGGGGTGGTTTTTTTTATAATTTATTTGAGGCGAGGATTTTTTTTTTTTTTGACAAAAGGGGAGGATTAATTTGAGGTAAGTTAGTCTTTTAATTAAATTAGGTTAGATGTTGGTTAGTTGATTTAATGACAATTAGGCCACTTTAGTGAGTTAATGAATCTAGATTGCCACTACAAAGAAACCAAAATAAGTTTGTCTTCCAAATAGAATTTTTGATTGTAGGAGGCCACCATGTAGAATTAATACTACCAAATGTAGAAATGATGCAAATAAAAAAAAAACAACCAAAACTAACAATAGCCTGCTCCTCGTAGCCCCAAGAGATGGCAGCCTCCACAAGGTGAGACAGTGAAAATAAACTGCGATGCTTTGCTAGTTGAGGAAGGTTGGGTGGGACTAGGTGCCATTGCTAGGAATGCTAAAGGGGAAGTTCTTTTTGCTGGTTCAAGGCGGGTGAGAGGCTTTTGGCCCCCTGATGTTCCTGAAGGGATGGCTCTGCAATTTGCTGCAAAGCTAAGAAGACGCTATAAGTTGAGCAGATTTCAGTTTGAGACCGATTTTGGTTGATGTTCTCTATTTAAGCTCTTTCTTTGATTTTGTTAGGTGGTCTCATGTTAAAAGAGAAGGGAACTTTGTTGCTCATCATCTCGCTTGATTACTGCCACTTGGTGTTGAACAAATATGGGAAAACCATTGTCCAAGTGAAATTTCCCCATATGTACTTATGGACAATTTTTCTTCATAAAAAAGCACTAATCTACCTTTGTTTAAAAAAAATTAAAGAAAAAGACAGGAAGAACGTTCCTTAAAAAAATTAGAAATAAAAAAAAGGAAGTGTTGCAATTGATAACAAACAGAGCCTACACTTGGAATTTTTTTGTAGCAATGTCATTGATGTAAATTAAATTGAGCCTATAATATCTTCACCTTAAAATAATACTAGGGTCAAGGTGTTGTAATAAAGAAAACTGAGGGTAGCATGTCAAAGTTTTAGCCAATTTATAGAATAAGGCTCTTTCTAGCTCATTTGACTTTGTTTGAAATTATTTTATCTAAACTAATATTACTTTATATGAACTTATTTTATTTTATCAGAACTTATCTAAACTTATTTTAGGTTGTATGAACTTACTTTCATTGATTCTCAATTTATTTTATCGGAAGTTATTTTTCTAAAGTTATTTTATTTGAACTTATTTTTCTGATTTTACTATCTTAACTTATTTTTAAATAACTTATTTTATCTAAATATATCCGAACTTATACTTTTGAAATACAATAAAAAATTAAAAAAAAAAAGTTGAAATATGATGTAGTAAGGAAACCACC